AAACACCTAAAGCTATTGAGACAACCGTCTGATCAGGAAAATAGGAAAATTACCATCAGTTAGGGATACAAAGCATTTATAAGCTTTCAAACGGAATGCAAATGAATTAAGGTATGGTTTATATGTTAGGTACAGGTGTTGTTACCTCATGTCTGGTTTAGTGGTTTAGTCTGCTTTTGATTCAAATGAAAACTATTTATAACAAATATATGCTAACATCAATCAATTTACTATTTATCATAATTAAATTACAATTAATTTTTGTGCTCTGCTAACAATACTTAAAAATAGAAAATAAAACCCAATTATCATGTTGTTTATCGTAGAGAATATGAGTTAATTATCAATACTAAAAATTGTACTCAATATCATAATCATAACAGCCCTTCACGTGAATACCGGGTATAACTATAACTAATGATAGTCTAACAGAAAACACTTCAAAATTGTAGTCAAATATAAAAGTAATGCTTTAGTTATAGAAAGGAAACTATGTTTTCAATGTTGAGTAAAACGAGACACAGAATTGAGAACATGTTTTTCATTTGAAGGTTATCTGTATTTCTCTTTAAAAACAACACAACTATTAATGAAATTACAAATCAAAACCGATTTATTGAGGAAAGTTATAATGAAATTACAAATTTAAACAAAATATTCAAATGACTAGAACTACAAACAATATATCGTTATATTAATGACAACTCATTAACTATTCAATCAATAAAACCTTGATATTAATATCTCATCAAATAATTTCCTATAATTTATGTCTACATTACTTTTAAAATGAATTCATTCACTATATTTAGCATTAATTTAATTCCTTAATCAAAATAATTTAAATCTCTTTATTGGCTCAAAATGTAATCAAATATAAGTTATTATGAAATAATACTGCATTAAAACGGCGATAAATTCAGTACTTAAATAACTAAATACACTTTTATTTAGGCAATTTTGCCCTTATATTGAGTACTGTTAGTACAGTTACTGTTAATGTAGTTATTATAAGTTATGCAATAATATGTCATTTGATTGAATCAAATCAATTAATGTGACAAATATTACGCTAATTATACTTTAATTCATCAAAACTTAATTCAAATAAATATATTTAATTAGAAAACAGATTTAATGAACCGGTGTTTAACAGTATGAATGCACGTATAGTACGGCTACTCATGAGTTGTCATCGATATAGATATGGACTGAAGACATGATCGCAAATAACACACAAAACAATGTAGGCCACCATTAAGAATAATCGCCCACGGATTTAATAATTTTTTTAAATGTAAAATTCAACGCTAAAAACGAATATGAAATCAAATAATTAATACTCTTTGACACCAAATATACAGCAATTGTCACACAATTGAGACCACAATTACATTAATGGCAATCATTTAAGTGTCAAATGATATAAATGTGTGTTTCATTCAAATTCATAACCAATTCAATATAATACTCTTTGACACCAAATATACAGCAATTGTCACACAATTGAGACCACAATTACATTAATGGCAATCATTTAAGTGTCAAATGATATAAATGTGTGTTTCATTCAAATTCATAACCAATTCAATAGACTTACGGTTCAAATGTTGTCTCAATTGACAAATGATGTGATAATTTGTATTTTAATTAATCAAAAGTTAGATTCAATTCAATTCAAAGCGATTTAATGTCCAATACTTTTGGCAATACTTTTAGTGAATACTTGTGTTTGAAATGTTTGGCATTTAATTCACTCATAAATGACGTGTTGTTTACGATTACAACACTTTTTGTGGTCAAAAGTGAACAACAAATCTGTGACACAATTATTGACACAATTATTATCTCAATAATGGATTCGTTGCCGAAGTTTACGTCAAAGACTCGGATCAGTTGTTTGGATAAATCTCTGCCCAAATCAAAGTCCGAAGTAATTATTGAATGCATTCAACCAATGGTTTGTTGTTTTTGACACTAATTTCATATCTCTTTGAATATCAGATAAACATAAGTATTTACGCTCTCCTCATGAGTGAAATGGTTCAGTACTGCCAGAATCGGGTCTATACTGTGCCTGAGCTCCAGAACAAGTATGATATATGCATTCCTCTGTGTCTTTTGATACCAATTATCGTTGACTTTGTCGCAGATTATCAGAGATGGGGTATAGAGTGGGACAGCGAGTGATGGACGCGATGGCCATTCGCGAGAAGAACTTCAAGAGAGAGACCCGAATCATCAATTTGTTGGTCTTCTTGAGGACCAAAGTGTGGATGAATTTGTTTGGCAAAGAGGCGGACAAATTGGAACAGGCGAACGATGACGAGTCCACTTGTAGGGCAACACTTCAAACACTACACCCCTTTTGATCCAATAATCACTCTTTCATTTATAATGACCAATAGATTACATCATCGAAAGCGAGCCATTGGTCAACAAATTCATATCAGTGCCCAAAGACAAGGGATCCCTAAATTGTGCGGCATTTGTGGCCGGAATTATTGAAGCCGTTCTCAATGAAAGCAATTTTGTCCGTTTATTATCTCATTCTTACTATGATTTGTAATTTAATTTCGTATGTTTTGTAATACATTAATAGAGCGCTAAAGTGACCGTTCATTGGCATAAAGGGACCACTTTTATGATCAAATTTGACGATTCGGTGGTCGCCAGAGATAAAGCTCTCGAAAATAAATAATTTATAATTCTATGATCACGTAATTCACTCGATGTATATATTTTTAATGATAAACTAATTGTCAACAAATTCTAATATTTATAAAGAAATTGATTTCGAAAAAAACAATTATACTTTCAATTAATTATGAGATTTAGACATCTCTGAGTCGGTCTCTCATGGCTTGCGTTTCGACGGCATTGGGAAGTACGGGGTAATAGCCCTGTTGTGAAACACCACAGTTGTTCACTCGGCTCCGAGAAATGCTAGAATTCAATGTTTAATTAAATGATTTGTTTTAATCATTTGCTTCAACCAAACACTCACCGAATATAACCGTCTTCTCCCCACTTCGCGCCCCAACTGTCACTCGGAAGCAATGATTCATTTAGTATAGTGTATGCCATACGAGTGTATGGGAAGGACAGACCTGTTTCTGACAATGAAGTATTCGGGATGATATCCGACAGCGACCACCGCGTGATTCACTTTCTTTGGGCTACACTTTGCGTCGTCGAAAATACCAGATCTTTTATAATGGATTAAATGTATAGAAACTTTAAATTACATAAACCACTCATGGATTTGTGCAATACTTATAAGCGGCCATATCTTTAGTGACGTGCACTGCGATGGCAACGGGTCCGTAGTTGTAGATAGCGGTGGCCAAGTCGTTGTCCAGACCTGATTTGAGACGTTTTCCTTCTTTCACTTCGACGTCAACTCTTTTCGCCGGATTATAATTGCATTTGTCTTTCTGTTTCATTCATTAAATATATATATTTTAAAACAACTAAAAAAAGGTTTAAAAAAGTGATACTTTTCCGAGATAGGGGTAGGCGTCGACTCCATTGATGCCTTTGTTTGCGGCCACATATTTGAAGGCCTGTTGAGGCATTCCTGAGACATTTGATTGGAGATCATATTAGTTACAATCAATAGCTGTGGACAACAACACAGACCTCCGTCGCAACCAATTGTACCAAAATCTCCGGAGCAGTCAATCATATTTTGTTCACTAACTGTTATTTGGGTTTTTGGATCAAATTTTCCCTCCGCTATCTGTCTCTTCATATTATGGCCTAAAATAGACATTTAATGCGAAATCTTATTATAAACTCTTTGATACAAACTTTCGAGAACACAAAACCACTCATGGATTTGTGCAATACTTATAAGCGGCCATATCTTTAGTGACGTGCACTGCGATGGCAACGGGTCCGTAGTTGTAGATAGCGGTGGCCAAGTCGTTGTCCAGACCTGATTTGAGACGCTTTCCTTCTTTCACTTCGACGTCAACTCTTTTCGCCGGATTATAATTGCATTTGTCTTTCTGTTTCATTCATTGAATATATATTTTTAAAACAAATTTTAAAAAAGGTTTAAAGAAGTGATACTTTTCCGAGATAGGGGTAGGCGTCGACTCCATTGATGCCTTTGTTTGCGGCCACATATTTGAAGGCCTGTTGAGGCATTCCTGAGACATTTGATTGGAGATCATATTAAAGTTACAATCAATAGCTGTGGACAACAACACAGACCTCCGTCGCAACCAATTGTGCCGAAATCTCCGGAGCAGTCAATCATATTCTGTTCGCTAACTGTTATTTGGGTTTTTGGATCAAATTTTCCCTCCGCTATCTGTCTCTTCATATTATGGCCTAAAATAGACATTTAATGCGAAATCTTATTATAAACTCTTTGATACAAACTTTCGAGAACACAAACATATAAACCATACCTTAATTCATTTGCATTCCGTTTGAAAGCTTATAAATGCTTTGTATCCCTAACTGATGGTAATTTTCCTATTTTCCTGATCAGACGGTTGTCTCAATAGCTTTAGGTGTTTGTGATTTGAGACCTGTTTTGCAATTTAGTCAAAAGATGTTGTCGTGGAATCAAGCGATTCATTACACACTTTAGAGTTTGCAACTGATTTAAAGTCTAAAAATATATCACATTTTGTGTTAACATAATTGTAATTAAGTTTCAGATCTGATGTAAGTGTTGTCATGTGTTTGTGTCAAAATGGACTCAATTATCACAGATTTTGTTATTAAAAAATATTTAAATAGAATTTAAATTTATTCAAAACATATTTCGAAATGTATTTTTGTTTAATTTTCCACTTTTTGTTTGTTTTATTTTTTCCATGAATTTCATTTCATTGCTATAATTCAACAATTCATTGACTAATTTATATTTATAATTTATTTATTATAAGTTTTAAGTGCCATTTAGTGAATAATTAGAGAATCGTTTAGACTTTGAGTTACTGTACTCTTCAGTTGTAATTTAGTTTAGACTCTAAACCACAGCAATAAATAGCATTCAAATCAGTCCTCAGAATCTGAGACTCAGATAATATAATAAATCCCTTTACTTTCGATTGCATCAGAGCCTGAAGTTTAGCTTAAGTTTGATATAAAAACATTTCACTCAACAGAAAATCTTATATTATTGTCAAGTAATTGAGAATACCTTTACTTTCTTTTCAATCCTGAAGTCATAATTTGCGTCAAAAGTGTTTAACATTTATTTCTTGAATATCTCTCGTTAACGACAGTTGTGTTCATTTGCTTTTTTACACTCCAGTGAAGAATATTAAAGGAAACAAATGGCAGAGAAAATAAAATGCGGTCCAATAGTGGAGATGCAGGGTGATGAGATGACCAGGATCATTTGGGATCTCATCAAAGAAAAACTCATTTTCCCGTTCATTAACGCTGAGATCCACTTCTTTGATTTGGGCGTTGAGAACAGAGACGCCACCAACGATGACGTGACCATCGATTGCGCCAAAGCTATACAGAAATATAACGTTGGCATCAAATGCGCGACCATTACTCCCGACGAGAAGAGAGTCGAAGAATTCTCACTCAAACAGGTATTGAATTTGTAACACAATTTAGTCGTTTAACAGCGGATAACAGGAAAACAATGTTTTGCTTCAGATGTGGAAATCTCCGAACGGAACCATTCGTAATATATTGGGCGGCACTGTCTTCAGAGAACCGATTCTATGCAAAAACATTCCACAAGTGGTTCCCGGATGGAAGAAACCCATTATCATTGGTCGTCACGCTTTCGGCGATCAATACAAAGCCACTGATTTTGTTGTTCCCGGAAATGGAAAGTTGGAGATAAAATGGACGCCCGAAGCGGGCGGAGAGCCCATCAGTTACACTGTCTTCGACTTCAAAGATGGCGGAGGGGTTTCGTTATCCATGTATAACACAGACGCCAGTATTACGTCGTTCGCCGAGGCGTCCCTTCAATACGCTTTGAACCGCAAATATCCGCTTTATATGAGTACTAAGAATACAATACTGAAGAAATACGACGGAAGGTTCAAAGATATCTTCCAAGACATCTACGAGAAGCAGTATAGGACTCGTTACGAGGCGGCGGGCATTTGGTACGAACACCGGCTCATCGACGATATGGTGGCGCAGGCGTTGAAGTCAGAGGGAGGGTTTGTGTGGGCGTGCAAGAACTACGATGGTGATGTCCAGTCGGATTCGGTCGCTCAGGGCTACGGCTCACTCGGAATGATGACTTCGGTGCTCATCTGTCCGGACGGGAAGACCATTGAGGCGGAAGCAGCGCACGGGACGGTCACTCGTCACTACCGAATGCATCAGCAAAATAAGGAGACCTCAACCAATCCGATCGCATCCATCTTCGCGTGGACTCGCGGTCTTCTCCATAGAGCGAAACTCGACTCCAATCAACAATTGGCTAATTTTGCCGAAACCCTGGAAAAGGTTTGCGTCGACACGATTGAGGCCGGCTTTATGACCAAAGATCTGGCCATTTGTATCAAAGGCATGGATGGCGTCACGAAAGCTGATTACTTGAATACTTTTGAATTCCTCGACAAATTGGCCGATAATTTGAAGACAGCGTTGAAGCGAAAGTGATTTCAATGCCAACACTTATCGAAATATTAAACTATAAACTTTTCACAAGAAGTTAATGTAATAATGAAATCTCAAAATTATTTAAAAATTAATTTTAAATATTTTATTTGAAATCAGTATTTCTTTTTATAATGCAATTGACTTTTTTGGACGAATGGATAATAAAATAATGAATTTTATACAAAATTGATGTGAAATTATTGTTATAAATAATGAAGTTTTTTGGGTTATCAGTCGAGTGACCAAAATTCATTGAATTGTTGCGAATACGCAAAGACTAGTCTCGGATCAGTTGTGATAAGACAGTCATTATAGGAGTTGAAAATAGAGTTTTCGGTCCAATTAAGGGAACCATTGATGAGCAAAGAGTTATCAATGATTGCAAACTTGTTGTGCATCAGCGCCTCGTCGGCCATCGATATGACCTTCAATTGGACGCCTTTCTTAAACAATTGGATCAATCGCTTCGAAGGGAACTTCTCTTCACCGGTGGTGGAGCCACTTGTGTGCCTTCCTTTGTCACCATTGGTCACAACCCGGACAACGATATTAGAGTCACGACTCAACTCTTCCATGACGTGGAGGAAGGGTTCGTATGACAGACAATACATACAGACGTCCAGAGATTTGGTGCAAGACTTCAATACAGACAACAGTTGACACAACTGCGAGTCCGGGTTGTGAGCCGTCAACACATCTGCGGATCAAATGGTTGAATCAATTGGTGCTCATGTGGTGAATGGTATGCAAACCTGGATTAGTTTCAAACAACTCTTTGGCCGTCACTTGAGTTTCGGGGAAAAAGAGAGCCATCGCTGAGACTTTGGGACCCATTGTGGACAACATTTGCGACACATATAGTCGTAATCTATAACTCAAATACAAGACACAGACATATGATGTGATTCTCGTATAAATAGACATTTCATATGTGAAGACATTCAATACAATCACTAATTAGTGTTAAATCTCTTGATTTGAATCTTTATTTTTCCCACAATTTGTTTACATTTATTTCACATTTAATTTCATTCATAAATGACGTGAAATATAGGGAAAAGTGGGGAAAGGAATGGGAATGAGATGTGAATCAAAGTTTGTCAAAGTATTGCTTATTCTGTGATTCCTTTGCCCC